CAGACTAACATGTGTACATGCATTTTAAAAGTCCAGTTTTAGTCAGACTAACACAATAAATCAACTTTTTCTAACTGCACATAAACACACTGAGTGTCCGTTACTCTTCTCACATATCCTGTTTTAAATAACAACGGTGTTGTTTTGAATCCATTAGCCATTGTTAAAATGTTGTACCATTGCATTGCTTCAACTAAATTTCACCATGTCAAAGAAAAAAATTACAATTCTATATCCCAAGCATAGCTCTGATCAGTATACATTAGATGACTTACACTAGCTTGAAGTAAGCTGGCCTAAGTTAAGATGTTGTTCCAGAAGACCTGATGTGATTGAGGTGGTTCTGCGGGTTTCCAGGACTCTGTCGCTATTGGCACCTATCTTGATTTTTCTGTTGACAGTGATAAGTGGAGTGTGTGTTTTTATTGCCTCACATGTACTTTCAAGCAGTAACGCTCACACTGTTCTGCTTTCACTGTGCTGATTGCACACTATTTCCTTTGTCCATTTGAAAATAGAGTGAAACTGAGGCACACAACAGATTTCCTGAACATTTGTTTCTCTGATTTTTGATGAGCTGCCTTGTTTTATAATGTATCAGGCTGACTGTACTGTAAGATGGAGAGATCACTTTCTGTACTATGTATTATGTGTATAATAACGTTATTTGATAACAGACAGTAAAATCTGATATAAAGTAGTCTCTGGAGGTTGATTGTCATTTCCATGTTGTTGCCATGTTGGTTTATTTGCATCGTCATGGCAAAGTCATCAACATGAAGCCTTGTCACAGTTCTGGTAGGTTTTGTAAGGGGTTGAAATCAGGTAAAAAAGTGAGATTTTAATCAAAGCTATAAAACAAGCATTGTCGGAAGAATGAGCAGAGCAAAGAATGTTCTGGAGTGCAGTAAGAGGCCTGTGGGCAGGTCATTATAAGGAGAGGCTGATTTAAGGGGGCTGAAGAACAGGGGCACAGAGGGTAGATAGGGACAGCTGCTGGAAGTGTAATGGTCAAGAGGAGGGTCTGGATCAACCTCTTTTTACCAAATACATTTGACATGTTGTTATAGGAAAAGCACGTGATAATAGTACAAATGCCTGTATTCCATTAAGCTGCTTCAGTGCCATGGTCGCTGTATAGTGCACGATGACTCGCTGTCACACTGACATAGTTAATCTTAAATCGAACAGAGAAATTGTTAAAGTTAGTAGTAACATCTGAGCAAGAGAAAAAGCTGCTGTGGGAAAAGCTTATTGACAAAAATGGAACTGACAGGCATATCAAGTTGGAGAGAAGAAACTTAAGAGCTGCTGTTTTCATGACAAATCTATATTAAGTTATGTGTTGACAGGTTACAGATGTCTTTGAAGAGTTTTAAACTGGATACTTAAATCTGTTAAACTTTGTCTGTGTGTGCATATGAATTATCAAAAACGTTAGATGCACCACTTCCTTAGATAGTCATACACTCAACAGTCGGACTAATGTGAAGGCAGAGCTCTAACAAGTTAGGGTGTAATGGATCGCAGGGTTTAAGGTTTGGTTGGTTGTTTTTTTGGATTATAGTTCGGAAAGAGTTCGGTTCAACATAAAGGAACAACAAGTCCATATTTGCATATTTCCAGGTTTCTCTCATTTATTTTGAATAACACAGAATAAACTATTACTTGCACTTCTGAGTATAAGCTATGGCTTATTCCATCTTGTGTTATTCAGAACTACCTGCAGTTGGTTCAGCTTGTAGTGTATTAAACATTAAATAAAACAGAGAGGGGAAAAATTCCAAATGGGAGGTCCATTCATCTGATGTTAGTGAACAGTGTGTGCAGCAGTCATTTGTGCTCAATCACAGCTTGTGTACACCAGTAAAGGACAACAGACGGGCTTTTGTTCCCACTAGTGTGGTCGCTGTAACGAGGCTTGACTACTTTTAATAGGCTATACACTTGAAGCCGGCGTCCTCTAGTTCTGCATATGTTTGCATACCATTAAAACATGTATCAGCTTTGTTGTTTGACCCTCTCTGCATTTACATCCAGAGGCTTTTTTGAAAACAGCGTGGATACATTTATGGACATGTGTTCTTTTCTTAAGTTTCGTAAATTGTCACCACTGGCTGATGCCGTCTCATAGTCATTAGCATGCTTGACATGTTTCCTATTACGTATCGCACTGTGAACCCCAATTTTCCTGAGACAAGCAGGAAGGTCTTACATATTGCTACCATGTAACACTCTTCTTCTTCTTCTTTATGTTTTTTTCTGTGTCGGGTTCATCTACTTCCTTAGTTTAAAAAAAATACTGTAGCAGTTATCAAACAGCAATACCGCAACCTGGATTGGTGTGTGGATATGTGATTACCATTTTCCTCCACTCAGACGTATTTGTTGTATTGCTGCATGCACCAAACCTTGATGTCCAAACTGTGTGTATAGATATAATACAATTTTGATACACAGTGTAGGACCAATAATGTGTAATTCACTTGTGCTAATTATTTGCTGACCTTTGGTAATTTGGGTGTGGTTTCATTAGCTATTGCTGTCCAGTTGTGTGGCAGGAGGCAGACAAAGAGGATGAGTGGGTTTGAATGTCTCATGTTGACCATCAGCTCCAGCTCCAGCATCATCGTCCTCGTTTTCAAATTAAATTATTGCTTTGTATCGGATTATTTTGTCAGTCTTTTGTTTATCGACAGTTTAAAATTATGTGGATTTTTATTTTTATTTTGAACAAACACATCACAATAACAAGATCGCATTTAGAGCTTTAACACTTGCAGAAAACTCCTGAATAACTCCTGATGTTTCCAGGAGGAGCTGCATGTGTGAACGCAAAAACTTTTTCCCTCTGACTTCATCCAGAGTTTCTCCTGCCAGACCTCTAGTGATTTATCTACAGAAAGTCTGAGTGAGCGGATATGAGAACACAGCAGGATATTATCAGGAGAATTTACTTTAAGTGAATGGGAGGGGGAGAGTGATGTTTACATACTGTGACTGCTGCACGGTGCTTAAAGTGTATACACATAACCGCTACGATCTCCATGAACGTAATTAAATGGCTGCATTACATTTTCTGTTCACCAGTTCTTCTCTTTTGTTGATAGTGTGATATCCGTTTAACTACTAAATATAGCGCATTGTGTTGCTTCGTCCGCTACTACCTCAGCTGTGAGGTGAATATGTTAACAGCCAGGTCAGGAGAATATCCGGAGCAGTCCTAAAATGATCTTGATCTTTACAGGAGTGCAGATGTGAAAACGGCTTTAGTCTCTTCTTATCTGCAGTTTTCAATCATACTGGCCACACAGAGTCGATGAAAGGACAGCAGAAACGTAGTTCATGATTCATGATGATATTTTTTTTATCATATTTGACTCTGCTAAATCGTTTTGATTTGATCTTCTCAGCATTTTATGAAGGGCAAAGCTACAACATTTCCACAGCCTATTTTAAAGTTTGACGGGGTCATTGTTTGAAATGTACTGTAAAATACTCCAGTTGAAGAATCACTTTAAGACATGTTCACTTTAGTTACGCTCACAGACTTTCCATTGGCCTGACATCAAACAGAGCAACAGCAGAAACATGCTAAGGCTAGTTATAGCTATTCAAAGATAATTCCCTTCAGCTTTATTACAGGGCGCACGAATACAGAGAACAGGCTTCAGAACAGCAGTGGGTCTATTTCTAGTTTCCTCCGTACAGACTTCTCTTACTCAACCTCCTCATGTTGGCTGAGAGTGCTTTCAGATCTGCATCTTCATTTAAATAAAGAGATCTTTTGAAGGGGAAGTGTTGCTTAACTTTTTGACTGGGTGCCAAATTGTTTGAACAGTTTTAGCTTTCAACTTTCCGACAGTGTGAACTTATGATTGCTTTCTTACCCACAAACAACCTTGTCAACATCCGTATAGTATCGTTTACCCCCCGGGAAGCCGGCGTATCCATGCTATTTCCCCTCCTGAAATATGGCGCTCCTCAAAGTAAATGAACATTTCGATTCACAGTATCCATTCTCATTTCATTTTGTGAATTTGCTTAGCTGTTGCCATGCAACAATGCTTCCTCGGCTACACCCCCATCCCCTCCCTTTGTCGCCTGGTTGCTCCTTTCTCTGTCTGAAGTCACAATGTCACACTTTCTTTTGAGAGAGGGGGCTAATTTTGAGCTCCTTTTTTTTTCGACAGTTAATATTCCATCCACGTAGGAGCGCAGTAATGAGATTGAGTTTTGATGTGCTGGGTGCGTCCCGCTGGCGTGTCTTTCAGGTTTGGGGACGGAGGACTGTGTGGAGCCTTCCCTGATATTACCTCTCCCTGCATGAGAGGACGATGGCCGCTCTGCTGCTCTGCCATCCCGCCGGGCGCTGATCCAATAATGCTCAACACACAGGGCTGTGATCGATACAGCATGTCCCACTGCCACACACACCTCCACTCTCCCTCACACACGCCTATTAGTTGAGGAGTAATTGATCGGCCTACTGTTCATTATTCCTTGGATTCGGAGCTTTCATTAAACAGTCCATGCGTTGTATGTGCACAGACTCGTGAGCTCTTACGCTCCACAGCTGCTCCGAAGTGAACAGAGGCTTTAAGAGTGAGCAGGGGAGTTTGTGTTCTGGATATCATTGAGATTAAGGAGATCCCGGTTCATAACGGCGCTTACTGCAGGAACCAGAGAGATGAGAAACAATGTGGGGAAACTGTGTGTGAGAGGGTGGTGTTGAGTGTATTTCTTTTGTCTGACTCTGTTCAAATTCATTATGTCCTGGAGGCATGCAGAGGATAATCTGCTTGTTTTGTCTTCACTGCCTGTCACAGAAAAAAAAGAAGGACAAACTTATTTTCTAACTGGTGTTTATCTTTTGTCCCTTTCTCCCTTTATCTTCCTGTCTGTCCTCACTCCTCACATCCATCCACTCTTTCTCGACCCCCTTTTTTCTTTCATTTCCATTTGCTCTTTCTTTCATCCTTCCCTCCTCTATCTCGCAGCTCCACACCGACATGGACAGGAATGATGGACGCACTAAGTATGTCCTGCGAGGCGAGGGGGCGGGCTCGGTCTTTGTGATCGACGAGAAGACGGGAAACATCCACGTCACCAAGCCACTGGACCGTGAGGAGAAGGACGAGTACCGTCTCGTCGCCACGGCCACCGACAGGCAGACGGACCGGGCCCTGGAGCCCTCGTCACAGTTCATAATTCGGGTGCAGGACATCAACGACAACCCGCCTATCTTTGATGAAGGCCCCTACAGCGCCACTGTGCCTGAGATGGCAAATATAGGTACGAAAAGAAAGGGGGGGAAAGCAGGTGATGGATTTAAGATTTATTGAGGGACATGAAGAGCTGAGTTTGAAGCCCAGGAGCTCAAGTTTAAATATCACATAAAAAGTAGAGAAAAATACTTAATTTAATTGAATAAACTCAAAAATGCAAGTTTGGATTAAAATCTCTTTTTCTATTAGCCTATAAGGAAAATATCTTGATGTTTTTTTTCTTTTTCAATCTATACTTTTTATTTATTTCAATAGCCCTGAACTCTCCTTTGTTGAACCTGAACTCTCCATCTTGGGAATAAGAATGTTGGACACTTGGCAGACAATGAATAAAATGCTCTACAATATTGAGTGAATTCAGACAAAGCCACGTTGTTGTAGCCACATAAATTTAGCTAGAGCTAAGTTAGCTAACTCTTTGCCTACTTTGGATTTGCTTAAAGTGGGAGGGGTTAACACTGCTAATATTATATCAACTAACCATCCATCCATTATCTATAACACTTTTTACTGTTGGGGGTGAAGCTGATGCCATCTGTCATTGGGCGAAAGGCCGCGGGGTACACCGTGGTCTGTTCAATCACATTACTGACATAAAGAGACAGACAACCAGCCACACTCACATTCACACTTACGGGCAATTTTAGAGTCACCAATTAACCTAACGAGCATTTCTTTGGACTGTGGGGGGAAGAACTCAGGCATGCACAGGGAGAACATGCAAACTCCACACAGAGAGGCCGGCCCTTTCCGACAGGGATTTGAACCAGGAACGTCCTTGCTCTGAAGCAACAGTGCTAACCACTGCACCACCATGCACCTTATATTAACTAGTTTTAGCATAGCATAGCATATAGCATTATTTAATAATTGATTGGTTTTGTAATATGTTGTTACTTTGAGGATCTTATCAGCGTCCTTCTCTTGTCATACATGAACGCTTGTCTTTAATCTCGTTTGTCTAAAAGAAAAGTTCAAAGCCGCCCCGTCATGTGATTATTCGAACTTGGTGCTGTGATCTGAGCACAGTATCCCATTTAAGTGCATCTTTCATACAGTTATAACATGAATACATTGTGCCTGCAGTGCCATCTGCCACCCAGACAGCTGTGAATAGCTCCATTTATCATGAAAGAAAGATGATTACTTTAATCCCTAGACCAAAGCCAGCCTGTAGGTTATTGTTATCAGAGTTTGACCAGGTAACCTCTGTGCAAAGCTGAACATGAGGTGACATAATTATAATACAGGATTTGGGGGGTTTCCTGCTTGTCATTTGGCTGACAGACCAAATTCAGCCTGGAAACTTGGCACTCATTTTTTCTGTCATATTTTTTATGTTTTGATTGAGTAATGGGAGCAAAAGTGATAAAAAATAATCTTAATAGCTGGGATAAGAACTTACCTTGATTGAGGGGGTTATTGGAGTGTACATAAAATAAGGCTGTAGCATTTTTATTGGTTTGCTGTTTAATCAGAATAAAGCCTGAGCGGGTCCATGCTGTCACGCTCAGCAGTGATGGATGTCCCACTTGACCACAGCTAGACAGCCTGTTTTATTATTTGTATCTCAAAAGGGATGAATTGCCTGAAGGTATTTTATTTAACAGCTTTGAATCTGTAGTTTGTATAGCCGTCACAAAAAAACATTCCTTACCTTCAAAAGGATGTGACAGATTGAACAACACAAATTAACAATTATTTGCAGCTGGATTAAAGCAATGATATGCCCAGTGTTAGAATCATAAAACATTTGTTAGATGAAGTGTAATATAAACACCTTTTATGATAAGCACTTCCATTGGGACATGAACGAATATTTGAAATACAATGACCGTGTTAATGTCGACATAGATGTTTTTAATACAAGGTTTTGACAGCTGCAGCTCGACAGCCATTATACAGCAAGGCAGCCATAACATTAGTACCTGTTAGGATTACACTCAGTGTGTTAACATTTTGTACAAAAGCTTTTTAGCCTTTATCAATAAATGGCTCCTTAAATGGGTATTGTAGTGAAGGGAGACCTGCTACATTTCAGGAGCTTCAGTATAATACAACATTTTTCAATTCATGGGCCGTTTTCCGAATACAAAGTGGAAGAGTTTATTCACTGCTAAATATGGAGTATGTATGAATCCTGCATTTCATATCCAAACTCCCCGCAGAGCTTCCTCCAGCTGATAAACAGAATTCCTGAATTTTGATTGGCTGTTCTCCGAAGTCGTTGAATTTTATTCCTCTTAGGTATCATCACATTTTGGTCACAGCTAATGCAGTTATCTCCTAGATTATTCCACAGCTGCAAGATTTGCATACATTTATATCATAGAGGTTTTTTTTAATGTGTAAGGAAATAAACACCATATGTCTATTAAATACTTCCTTAGTACATTCACATGGAATTATTTAATCATGTCTCAGTTTTAAATCTAAGGCCCTTTAAGTAAGTTACAGATTTTTGTATTTTTGTATTTATGTCTGCTCTTCATATCACTTCAAGGTGGGCGTGGCTCAGATGACAGAAGAAGGTGTCAAAAACCATAATATCAACGATTAGCTGTTTTGGCACTGTCAATCAAATCTTATCAAACCCAGAAGCTGTTCATAAGAATTGAACATGACCTCTTAGTTTTAGTAGAAAAGCCAGTCCTAGAAATGCATGAAACCTGCACTCTTTCTACTGGCCAGCAGGGGGCGACTGCAAAATAAGTCTGATTATATTCAGGTCTATCTGGAAATAACCCTACTTTTCACTCAGTACCTGTGTATATGTATTTCTGATGACTTTTCTTTCTCAGTCCGTATTTCCAAGTCTTATTCAGTAAAGTCTTGATTTTTATGTTTTGCACTTTGGTCCCATTCAGAATATAATATTAACGCAGGGTCTGTATTGGTAGTGTTCTATATTAATGATACCGCTTTTTAACCCTCTGATAGAGGCGTGTCAATGGTAATCAACCCTCTGAGCAAATTATGGGCGCTCTGGCTTTGACAAAGACGCGTGAATGCCAAACTCAAGACTTAAAGTTTACAAATCAAATGGGTGGCATCGTCCACTCATAGACATGATGAAACCATTGCAACAAAAACTGGAAGATAAGTAGATTTTTTTTTTTTTTTTTTAGATACAAGCATTTAATTTGATGGAAATATACTTTGATTTAAAGGGGACAGTACAGTATGTAGGAATTTGGGTTTAGAACCGAAGGGTCGCTGGTTCATGCCCCTCACTCTAACATCTATCCATTAATGCATGTTCATAGATTCCTGTTTGTGTGTATTTCCAGCCGAGTGTGTCTCTAAATAAGAGTGCAAATCTGAATTTCCCCTCAGGGATAAATAAACCTCATACATTTCCAGGGGCTGTGATGCATCAAACAAACTTACATATGGCTATTACTTCTCAGGTGAACAACTTAGGCCACTGTTAGAAAGCCTTCTCTTCTCACATTGCTAAACTCCAGGGTAAATAATCACAAGCAGGAAAAGATTGCCAGCAGAAGGGCTTTATTTACACTTTTATCAACAGCACTGTCTTACAGTCAAGGTTAAGTTATGCACGCAAGCTGAAAATCCATCTCCAAAGTTGAATGAGCTCTGAATTGATAACATCTTGTGTCTTAAGCGATTGGCAGAATAAAACACTGAACATACTGAACTGTAAAACAGAAAAGAATCGCCTGTTCTCTGCTCTAATGAATGATCAACTGATTGATGCACGTCCATATAAAATGTTAATGAGAGGATTATGTCATCCCTGTTGCGTTTGTTCTTTAGACTTGACGACTTTTGCAAAGTCAAAAGAACTCGGAGAGAGACGCTCTGTGAACATTTACCGGAATTTGAAAGCATGGGGGAGCAACGGGAAATATTCCCCTCTGCATAGTCTCACAGGAGTGGTGTGTCCATGTAGCTCGAGTCAGAATACAAGGCTCTGGGGATTCATCGGTGCCCTCTTCAGATTGTAACACCTAGATATAGTTTCATGAGGGCCGTCTGGGCTAAAAGCAGCATAAAGTGAAGGACATTTGCTCTGCTATATTTTCTTTAAATGTAGGCCGCTTCACACCTCACTTTCACAGTTTCCAGCTCAAGAGAAACTATTTTTACAGTTTCATGTAGATATGCTGTTAACCAGGCTTTGTTAAACACAGTGTAGTTTAAAAGCACATTAAGCATCTCAAAATGTAGAGTACATATTCTCTGGACAAGTTTTATTTTGTAAGCATTTGGGTTCCAATTTGTGTTGGGAGCAGTTCATCTCAGGCACTGTTCAATTGTATTACTCTTTGGCATGTTTTCACCTGCTCAGTCCAGACACAGAACATTTCATGGCTGGCATCATCAGACTTCTCCAAAACTGTCTGCAAATGGGAACAAAATGTAAGTGCAGTGCATGCAGAATGTGTAATGGGTTGGATTAATGCCTGATTTTTAATAACACTGTCACCACGGCTGCTTGTAGGAAGTATGAGGCCCTTCTCGTGTGTTGATTAAATACCTGCAGGATTGATCAAGTACATATGTTTCATCTATGGTCTCTGATTTAAGAGATGCTCAGTTTGTAATAATGCCCAAGCTAAAATATTTGGGGTTTCTTAGGAAGATAAAATGCTGATTATTAGCACTGGGAGCTGGAGGTTATGTAATCATGTACGAGGGCTTTAACAGACTATTGTTTTTATCTCAGTGTTTGCAGATGTTGCATAATTATGTGCATGTTAATGTAAAGTACACTTATAGAAGAAGCTGAATACAATATAAGTAATCTTTAGGGCGCACAAAAAGTATATGCAAAGAGGAGCACAAATAGAAACAGCTTGAATTGAACAACATGAAAAGAAGACATAATCTGCCTATTAGGGATTCTGTCTGTTTGTATTCAAGTCACGTCCACTAAGTTGCTTCTTTGGCACTCGGCTCTTTCCAGAGGAGAGAGCAGTTTTAAATCAGGCCGGAGTCTTACTTTTTTTTGTTACATTTTTAAACACTGTAAGGAGCTGA